TATAGAACAATTGAACGAAGAAATTGAATCCAATGGGATTCGTACCATAATATATAAAGATGGTACAGTGATTCGTAAAGATATTGATGAAAATGATGAATTTGATTCTGATGATGATGATGACGTTGACGAAGAATTGACAAAACTTCGGGCAGCGATTGAAAAATTAGAAAACAAACGAAAAAACAAACGTATGAAAACCGAGAATGATAATAGTGATGTGCCCATTTATCGCATAGCACAGTCCATTAAAATGTTTAATGGTGAGATTTCAGAATGGCCTGCTTTTAAACGAAGGATTGAGACGTTGGTTATCGATCGAAAAGGAATGTCTGATATATCGAAAATGGCACTTATATCTGGTTTGCTGAAGGGTAAACCCTCAACAATCTGGGATAGCTGTGAGACTAGCGGTATGCAACTGAATCAATCATGGAAGAAACTAGCTGCAGAATTTGAGGATGTCGGAAGAATCAACCTGTTTATTCAATCTACGGTTCTTAAGATGGTACATGTTGGTAATAAATACGATTTTGATAATTTGGCCAAAATTGAAACACAGGTTTCAGAACTCCGTAATGCGTTGATTGGACTGGGTCCACATTTCAGTGAAAATACTTCTCAGATTGTATGGAGAATTGCTACTAAATTTTGGAGTGAAGAATCTGATAAGATTATTAGCAAATGTCAGTCTCTAGAAGATTTATTGTCTAGAATTAAAAAAGCTCAACTTGATGCTGTGGCATGGGCACAGCGAAACGCTGAAATTAAATCGAAATCTGTCCGAGTTGTTGGTACTGCAGGAAACAAGCCTTCTAAAACTTGTTTCTTATGTGATAAACCTGGACATTTTGCTATCGTATGTAGAACGTTGATGAATGCAGCAGAGAAAAGAAAAATTGTGAACGATAAAAATTTGTGTTGGTTTTGCTTATGGCCTGGTCATAAAGCTAAAGATTGCCGAAAAAAGGAATCAGTTAAATGTTTAACGTGCAATGGAAATCATCCAACGCCTTTGCACGATGTCAATTTTAATGAGTCAATAAATGTAGTTACTATGGCTGAAGTTCGAATTGCAAAGAATGGTTCTTCAGTTGGGAAATTTCAATGCCGAATTGGAGCAAGTGATTGTGAAGTTCTTATAGATTCAGGAGCTGACGTCTCTATAATTCCAGGGAATCTGGTCGCGACTCGGAATCGTCGAACCACAACGCCAATCAAATTGTGTGGCTTTGACAATGCAATGTATCGAAATGTTAATCAAGAATCTGATGTAGTTCTTTCATACCCGAATGGTGAAATAAACTTGGTCGCATACGTATCTGACACAGTGCCTAAGAATAGCGTGATTATAGGAAAGGATTTCATTTATAAGATGTTCAAGAAGGGTTATCGTGTTTGGCATACTGTTTTCGGAGACGTAGATTTAGAGTCTATGAAGGTCATTAATGTCGTTACGAAATGTGATAAAAAAATAGTTAAGTGGAACGAAAATACGGATCCCGAAGATGTCGAAGAGGGCTATGAGATAGATTTACGAATGGAAAGGTTAGATAATGGCCGATTCATTGTGAATTTGCCATTCTTTTCTAACCAACGACCGCCAAACAACTTTAATAAGGCTTTAAATAACCTGAATCGCTTACAAATTCGCTTATTCGCAAAAGGGCTTTTTGATCAATATGAAACAGAATTAATGAAATTCGTAGAAAATGGGCATGCAGAAATTATTAATGATTCTGCTGGATATTTCATACCACATCATGAGGTGGAACGTCCGGAAGCTACAACAACTAAATTTAGAATCGTGTTAAACGCGTCTTTTGGTTCGAATTCGCTGAACGAACTGCTTTGGAAAGGAATCGTCTTAAATATGGATACGTTGCCGCATCTTTTGAGAGTTCGAATGAAACGGTTCATGTGTGTCTCTGATTTACAGAAGGCATTCTTGCAAATCGTCATAAAGGAGAATGATCGAAAATATTTGCGCTTTTTATGGAAGAAGCGTGATGGAGATTTAGTAATAATGCAGATGGTGGTACTTCCTTTTGGCGTCGTTAGTGCTCCTGCTATCCTCACTCAAGTAATCGCGTCTATAATAAATGGTATGTCTAGAAAGTCATCTTCGATTTTGGAAAATTCTTCGTATATGGATGACTTGTTGGTGGTCACGAATTCCGAATCGGAACTGTTATATGCCATGGAAGAAGCACAGTCATCTTTTTTGGCTTCTGGATTTATCCTTCACAAGTTGGTATCTAATTCGACGATGATCCGGGATAGATTTAAAAGTGAATCGAATAGCTGTAAACTCTTGGGTTTGGTTTGGAATAATATTGATGATACTCTGAATGTTAAATGGAGAATCCCTAGCGTTATTGATACGAAGCGAAAACTACTGAGTTTCATTGGCCAGCTGTTCGACCCGTTGGGATTTTGTGAACCAGTCAAATTATTGTTTCGTTTTGAGTTTGCTTCAATACATACGAAGGAATGGGACGAATTATTGGATGACGAGGTGAATAGTAGATTAAAGAATCTAATGGTTGATATGGAGAAACTAAACGAGTTGAGTTTCCCTCGTCAAGTAGAAAGAATTGGGCCTCTATCTTGTTTTGTTGATGCGAGTGGGAATGGATATGGTTATGCTATTTTTATTGGTAACGATTTATTTTTCGGTAAATCAAAAATAGCACCCAGAAGTAAAACTATTGTTGATCTTGAGTTATTATCTTTGTTGGAAGGAACGAAAGCTGTCTCGCGGATCGTAAAACTTTTGAATTATGATGGAGAAATTCTAATGTTCACCGATTCGTTGGTGAATATTCATCGTCTAAAGTCTTCTCCCAACGCCTTCCCTATTAAAGTCGCTCGGCGAATGCTGGCGATCCTGATGATTGCCGGAGAAATTCAAATTAAATTTCATCACATCAGTGGAAGTAAAAATCCCGCTGATCTGTTTTCAAGAGGTTGTCGCGCGGGCCGATATATCAACTCAAAAATTTGGAAAATTAACATCGAAGAAAAATTAATGGCTAGTAGCGAGCCGATTGCTACAAAGCTAATTTGCACTATTAAGGAATCAATATTTCCAGATTCTTCCCTTCGCAATTGGATGGACAAGTGTGGTACGCTTTCAAAAATGTCCAAATGGTCCGATAGAATCCTCAAATGGATGGAACGAGCTACTGGGCGAGTTCGGCGGTTGGATGCTGTGGAAACGGTGTATCGTATTTATCAGCAAAGCGAAACCAAACATCCTGATGATTGCTTCGAAGATAAAGGTTTAATTCGTTTCAAGTCAAGAGATCGTGATAATTTTCCTGTTTGGATACCTGGGAATTCAAGTCTTGCGGTAGAAATGTTGACGCTTGCCCATCGTAAATCATTACATCGAGGTCGTGATATGTCATTGGCCATGGTGGCGAATGGTGTCAGAATTGTAGGTGCTAGACGGCTTATGAAAAAATTAATTAGTGGTTGCCTCATATGCCGAATGATTCGCGGCAATGCAATTATTCAACCGTTTGGTCCGCTTCATGATATTCAAAAGAGATTTATGAAACCTTTTGAATGCATAATGATGGATGCGTTTGGCCCATTGAAATTGTCAAACGGTGCGAAATGTTATGGATTAGTGGTATTATGTCGAACAACTAAAGCTTTAAAACTTGCTGTCTTGGAAGATTTATCGGAATCATCATTGGCGAATGCGTTAATCAACGTTTGGAATCTGGTGGGTTTTCCGTTAGAGGTTTGGTCCGACAATGGAACGAATTTCTTGGCAGTTCGTGATAAATTGGAGAAAATGGCAATGTCTGGAAAAATAAGCGCTATTAACTGGAAAACGTCTACGCCGTCTGCTCCATGGATGAATGGTGCAGCTGAACGAATGGTTCGCTTGGTCAAAGAATGTCTTTGTTTGTTACCGAAAAAAGTTCGGTCTTTATTCGTTTTGAGCAGAAGTTTCAATTATGTTGAACATGTTATTAATCAAAGACCAGTTGTACAGAATGAAGGAAGATATTTTTCTGCCTTTGAGTTGTGTACTGGTCGTACCATGAATCTTATGCCGATGACTGATCGTGGGGAATCGATTGACGATGCTGTAGGAATGCTTTTTGAAAGAACAAAATTTATCGATTCCGTTGCTCTATTATGGATTTCTCAATATCTAAACAAAATTGCTAAAGTGAATTCCGCTAAACCAGTGGAAATTAAAGTCGGTGATTGGTTGTTGGTTCCAGGGATGCTTTCAAAACGATGTAAATGGCCGGTTGGACAGGTTACGGGAGTAGTGGTTGGTTCCGATGGAATATGTCGTTCTGCAAAAATACGCTGTATGGGAAAGGACGTATGGAGACCTTTGAATAAATTGGTTTGGATCGCTCGTTCAGGGGCGGAAGAAACTGTTGCTGAACCGTTGAAAGTCGATAATTAAACAATTCCATAATTAAATGAAGTTATTGTTCGGTTACAGGGCTATATA